CAAGGAGGTGTGGGACCTCGGCAAAGACCTGGTTGGTACCCAGCGAATAATATCAAATAAAGAAGTTATACAAATGGTATGTAGAACAATATGCTTCAAACGGCCTTAGGCCCAATTCGTATTTCTATCTAGCATATATACACAAATCTAGGTCAAGTGACTGCAGTTCCAAACACATCATACGGCCTCGGGCCCAATTCGTTCGTGACATACTGGCCTTTGGCCCATTTATCTTTTATTTATGTCAAACTGGCCTTTGGCCCATTTAGACTTTCATTCATGACAAACTGGCCTTCGGCCCATTCAAACTTTCATTCATAAGGGTGTTTAACAAGCAAAGCGGTATGGGCTTTCTGACAGGCTATGACATCGGCTAACAACAAGGCATATCTAACAAGCTACACGGAATGGCACTCCGGCAAAGGAATGACATCGGCTATCAAAGGACTTCGGCAACTAAAGTGACAATGACCTCGGCTAGGAGGGACAACACTTGACTAAGCTGTGCCACATCTTGGCCTAGATGCGCCACACCTCGGCCTAGGTCATACCACTTCCAGGACGAGATCACTTGGTGCAAGGTAACATCTCGGCTAATGTGGTCAAGGCAAGGACTGAGGTCGACAAGGGGTTTCAAGATACCAATACTAGACTAAGGATGACCTCGGCATTGGAATAACGTCGGCTAGCATAACTCAGGCAAGGCGTAACCTAAGTTTCACACCAAGGAAGGAACAAGACAAGCATACTACACTTAGACAAATCACAAGGCTTCAAAACAAGGCATGGATCACATTAACTCAAGCGAAACAAATCACAACACACACATGCAAACTTAACAAATCATAGTCACACAGATGCTCATGAACATGATGAGAACATAAAATGTGGGTTCCTACAATGTAGATGGCATATTATTGGCTGGAAATGACAAGGAGATGATTGTCGCCACTAAAAGGTGGTTGTTCTCTACATTTGAGATGAAAGACATAGGTGAAGTGAGCTATGGTGTTAAGATCCTTAGGGATCGCACTAGGAGACTTCTTGGTTTGTCTCAAGAGATTTCCATTAAGACTATCCTAGAGTGATTCCAGATGCAGAGCTGCAAACCCATTGACACTCCTGTTGCAAAAGGCGAGAGCCTAAGCCTTGATATGGGTCCTAAGACTCACGAAGAGAGTGAAAAGATGGCCCGTGTTCCTTATGCAAATGCTGTTGGAAGCTTGATGTATGCTATGATGTGTACGCGTTCTGACATTTGTTATGCGGTCGAATTGGTGAGTCGTTACCAATCCAACCCAGGACCAGTTCATTGGAAAGCAGTTAAGAGGATATTACGATATCTTAGAGGGACTGCAGATTACACACTTTGCTACCAGAGTTCAGATCTACATCTAGTTGGCTATTGTGATGCTGACTGGGGAGGAGACCTAGATGAGCGTAAGTCTACTTCAGGATA